ATAATAAAATATTCTATTTAACACCTCTCTTAAGTTGGTGCAAAGATATTATACATACCCAACTTGCATACCAAGTTCTAAAAAGATTTGTTGCAACTGGCATGGTTTTCAAATAAAAGAAAAAGAACAACACCCAATAGCTAATCTCACAGGGATAAAACAAAACTTCTAACCAGTATCTACGGAGTTAGAAATAATAGGATTGGCCAAAAAGGGAACAAGCTGCGAGTCTAAAGTCAATGATTAGAAACAGACCGATTCAACAAGAAATCGTTGGTATCACGAAACTAGAAGTGGATGCGCGTGGAGGAGCCAGATCCATGCGGTTATCAAGAAACCAAAGGCAGATGCACGCGGAAGAGCCACAAAAAGGATCAGAGAAGGCTAGTCAGAGCAGCTTGCACGCAGAGGAGCGGGATCCTGAATCTGTCCCAGTGCGGTCGGGTTTGCGTGACAAAGAAGAATATGCACTGGAACTGTAAAGTTGCTCCCCCTGTGCACACCAGAAGGCCAATTCGAGCGGGAGGAGAAGATTTTCAGCGGTGTGCGTGGCTCACACACTTCTGTTGCAAAAAAGCGCATGTGGCTCACACACTTCTGTTGCAGCAGCGCGTGTGGCTCACGCACTCTAGAGACGGTCTCCTGAGTTGGGGGGCAGGCTGGCGGTGAGGGTACGACTCTATTTAAGATGGTGGTGAGATTAGATCTTGATAGATGAGTACTAATTCAACCTATTATACTATTTTAGAGTTTAAAAAATAATTCAGAAATTAAAACTCTAAAATAACTTTATTTGACTTTAATACCATATTGATTTTGAAGAAAAAATAAAAATTTTATTTTTCGTACCTTTTACGTTATTACATTTGGGATATTTATAAAATTTTTAACCTACAGATAAGAAAATTACTATTTGAATAGAAATCTAATTACATAATCTCAACTAATTAAATAATAAAATATTCTAATAAACACTATTAATGCATGCCAATCAGCTAAAAACAACTGGAAATGTATCAAATTGATTTATTAGGGCAAAAGTCTGTAAGCAAAGCCATAAACCAATCTTGTTCCGACCTGACCAGAGACTAAAGAAAATTAATCTATAAATGTTTATAAACTTGCGATTATGAATTTAGTATGACATAACTATTTCTAAACCTGAATCACTAAGTAATTAAAGATTTATTAGTCACAGTCAATAGCAGTACCACACTGAAAGATATTCAAATAAATGTTTCATGTGAATTGCACATCACCATTTTAACAAAGTAAGAATTTGAGACATCAAATACAAATAAAAATTGGCAGATGAAGACGAGAAACAAAGCCTACAAGAATATGTGAAGCACTCGACCCAGTGTTCAGACCAACATCATATGATGAAAAATGAGCCCATTCACTTAGTTTGAAAATCCACCTGCAAACAATTACAATGTGAAGAGGCAAGATTCCAATAAAGAATTAAAAAGTTCAACAGTGACAAAATTCTCACCCATATGATGCCTGTTTATCAGTCAAAAACCCTCCTGTCATGACCTGATTACCAGTTCCCTCATCAAAACAGAGGGTTAAATGAATCATAGAGTTCAGCTTATCTGAAACTTCGAGAGTCTCACCACAGACAGGGCAACAATTTATAAGTGGCTCTCTGCAATATAACAATGCAGAAAACTGAAAAGGATGAGAGTCTGCCACAGAACAGGGAAAGAAGTTATCATCTAATTGCAGTTTCAGGTCAAGAGAACTAGCATGTTCCTTACAAGACAAGACTATGCAAGCAAATATCCAATGACAAAAGAAAGGAACCAAGCCCAGTAGAAAAAGATGGCAGATAACCAAACAGATTTACACCTTACTTTTTTATCAAACAAAAAAAAATGTGCAATTCCAATTTAATTAGAAGTAGATGATGTTTTCAGTGCACAGATCCAGGTTCTCCAAAGTGTTCTGTTCACTTTTGAAACTATGGAAAATAATACACTCCCACACCCTCGTCTTAAATTTACGTGAAAATTAAACTGAAATTACTTATCTTAAAGACCTGCTCTTGCATTCCTAAAATATGATAAAGCATGTCTAAGATTTCAGAAAGTAGTAACACTATGAACTTGACATAACAAATGGATAAATTCATGCTTATCTGCACCACACATCAGTTTATGCAACAGCTTCTGTAGCTTCTAAAGCAGTTTGATCTATAACACGGACTTTACAAGCTTTTTTGTCAGACATTAGCAGTATTGTATGTAACTGATTTATATTGTCTTTTTCACCTTGAAGTCCCATATGCAAACAGTTAGTAACTTTTATTATATTCTATTATATTTTAAAAATGCAAAGGCAGTTCCAAAACAGAGGAAGCAGTTATAACTTCTTCCTAGACATCATACTTTTGTAATTTAGCATCAAAACTTTTGCTAGAAATAAACTATCAACCAAATAGTGAGGAAGAGTATAAGATAAACATTACAAGGAAGACAGGCTTTGCATAAGAAAGAAGCGCCTTAGTTTTGAAGTTAATTACTTTTCCTATTGAAAAGCAGGAGAACATATATTAAACATGACATTGATTAAAAACACTTTATCTCCGAAAGGTCATTACTTTTCCTGTTGAAGAGCAAGAAGTGCAGCCAACTCATCCATGCTTACAACACCATCCCCATTCTTGTCAGCAGCTTTAAAAAGCTCCTCTCTCTAGAAGAACAATTTAATCATAATGCTAAGATAACAAAATCTATAGAATAAAAAATCACGATTTTTAGATCTAATATGTTGTTTCAAAGCAAGAAGAGTACCAAATAAATGGATTTGAGTTTGATATCAAAGACATAAATAGAGAAAAATTTCTACAAATTTGAGGCCTGAATTCAAGTCCATTGTATAAATAAGTCAGTAAAGATATGAGCATAAATAT